TATCCGTTAATTTCCGCCTCTCAGCATTTGACCTTCCTTCAGCAAGTCCTGAAGCCTGGAAACCTGTGTAGGTCAGAGGCATCCTCAGGCCTGGAACCTGGATCATGGTGTGGAGGCTCCTGCGGGCTGAAGAAAGAAGGGGAAGGGCCAGCACTCAGACCCCAACAGTGGCAGACCCCTCCACGCCCAGCCCCGCCATGGTCTGGACTCCACCCGGCTCCTGGCAGCCAGGTACATGTCCAGTTCCCATGGGTTTCTACTTTACTGCTCTGTGCCCGGGTCCTGCAGCAGCCCATCTGGATGGATGTCAGAGCCTGTGGGCTGCCCGGGGCCGTTACCTGGTGGCCAGGGCCATGAGAGGATATTCTCAGAGCTGGTCCTGCCCTGACCATGACAGGCCTGGAAACAGTTTTGTTAAATGGGCAGGTGCCAGTCACCTGGGCTCATGGTGCCTGACACCCAGACCCTACACAGCCGTGTGCAAAACCCAGTGTCTCACTGACTGCAGCTTCAGAGCAGGAGTCACAACAGAAATGCCCCAGTGAGACACAGTGAGTGCTGAGCTGGGAGGGAGGGTGCAAGGGACATGTTGGGGTCTCCAAAACAGCCACCTCCCCACCAGCTCCAGGCTGAGAGTAGACAGATGGTGACCTGGCAGGAGGGGACAGTTGGCTGGACCTTCACGACACTGCCCACTCAGGTGTCCACCTTCTCCTCTGAGGGCAGGGCCAGGGCTGGTCATCTCACCATCAGCCCAGGGTCAGGGTGTGCGTTCAGCACGGAGTCTTGGGACAAGCACCACCTCCGACCAGCCTCTCCTCATTGGCCCCTGCCAGCGCATTCCTGGGCTCAGGTGTGAGCTCACATCGGCGCTTGGGGCTGCAGGCAGCGGGGAGGACTGGGGAGGCCACAGGAACGTCCCACCATGGCAGTGATTATTCTGCTCCATCCCCAGGTCTGGGTGGGCTTCCAATGACACATTTTCCTCAGATGGGGAGGGCAGGTTGGCTTCCAGGAGGTTCTGATGATTGTAGCTGGGCAAAGGCGGCAGCTGTATGGGGAGGAGGCTGCGGGTGGAGGTGGGTGGTGGACGGCTGGATGGGCGGCGACTGAGAAGAGCCCACCTGTAATAACCCCTGCCTCCTAGCCACCAGGACGGCTGCTGCAAAGAACACAGAAACACGCGGGCGAGCGTGTGGAGAGACTGGAACCCTGTGCACTGCTGGTGGGAATGTGAAATAGGGCAGCCACTGCAGAAAGGAGTACAGCAGCTCCTGAAAAAATTGAAAACAGAACCGCCACACAATCTAGCAATTCCACTTCTGGGTGTGTATCCAGAGAATCTGAAAGCGGAGTCTCAGAGCTGTGCCCGTCGTGTTCATAGCTGCGTGTGCATGAGAGCAAGAGGCAGAAGCCGCCCAGTGTCCACTGACGTGGACAGATAAG